CACAAAAATTTTTATCACTATATAAATTGCTTCTGATAATGAATACTATTTTTAAAATATTTTTTTCACWAAATMTCAAGTTTTTTTAAATAAGTAAGATAGCTATACTTAGATAAAATTACTAAATTGTAAGTCTTTGGACTAGAGTGGGAAACTTGAGTGACATGTATTGGTCGYGGATTTTTATAATGTATACACAATGAGATGAATACAGTGAAATGTCATCCCTTTACACGTTTTCATTCAAGCGTTTTGCTCCCCTATACTTGATTTTTTTTTAAATGCTACCACTACCCTTAACAATCTGGGGGTCTCTGTAATCGATAATACGTTGCAACTATTAAGATCAGGCGTATAGTATTAAGTGCATATGCACTTAAAATAATATTTAAAAGTTTTTTGTATCGCATGAGTTCTGCAATCTATTCGTTATGTAGATGTAAATATTAAGTCTAATCATTTTCTTAATGTCTCTTAATATTATAATAATATGTAAAATATGGCTTATATTACGTGGCTTTCAAAAAATCTTTCCGTAAAAATTAAATTAATACAGTTTACGCGTACAATTTACGCAGTTTAATACATAAATGACCAAAACGACTTTTTGTTCTGAATTTCATTATTACAAACAACGATAATTTAATCAGTTCTAATTTGTCGTATTTGTATTATGCCTTGCGTTTTCGGTGCCCGAATTATTATTACTATCCAATTCATTTTGTGCAGCAGACACGGTACTTAAAATGTAAAAATAAAATAAATATTTACATATCTTTATGAATCCTAGAGATATTTATCATCATTTTGAGCGCTCACACGTGTCGGGACAACCACCCTGCATGTGTAGGTACAATATATTTTATTATTTTTATATAATATGCCGGTTGCCGACAGTATAAAAATCTAGTCGTTTCGTCGTTACTTCCGGACGTGCCACGATATAATATAATATGCAATCATGACGTTCGTCCCCGTACGATATAGATACGCTATACGTAGTCGCGCGTATACGCTCATTTCCGTTTTCAACGCGCGTTTATATTATTATTATCATCATCATTGTTATTTTTATTGTTATTATTATTGYTATCGTTTTACTTTGAACAGTTTTCCCGTGTACCTATGTAATATACTAATCACGAATGTGTATTTGTGTTTCAGGTTTTCCGGCGGCTGCGTACGCGGCTTACGCCTCTAGCCGAGGTTTTTCGGGTTACCCTAGTTTCGGACTCTCGTATCCAGCAGGTAATAACCATGCACAGGTCACTGTGCTCCCTTTTCCCGCACTGCTTGACCATCACCACAACCATCACAACACCCATCCTTTCTATATGCATGCCATGCCTCTGTGAACATAATTATTATTATTACTATTATTATTATTATTATTATTATTATTATTATTATTATTATTATATTATATTATTATTATTATTATTATTATTATTATTATTATTAATGACGACACCAATGCTCCGGGTCGAATTCGCAAAACCGAAAGTGTCATCCGTTCTGTCGGTTTCCATCGTTAAGATTTGTGCATAAGATATTTAAATTTTCAAACATAATGTCATATTGCATAATATACTCGTTGCACTATTTGCCGGACGCCTACAACGATGACTTTTTCCCTATACTCAACCCCGCGGAGTGATATCGCATCCCTCTTCAATCTATAATATTMTACTAGGTATTACCTACGTATAATATCCACGTGTGTGTTTGTTTGTTTTATATTTTTCAGTGTTTGTGTGTGCGTGTGTTTGTGTTTATTGTTTGTTTCTCGGCCCCCATATCGCCATCCGCTATCGTGTGTATTGCTCGTCGTCTGGATTTCTTATWTTTTTTTTTCGTTTTATTAATAATCATACTTATAAGTACTYACTCACCCTTAAGTTTTTTTTTTATCCGTAAAACAATGATGATATCATACAATTTATGAGACGTGGTTTGCGAAAGTTCGGCCCTGACGCTTGGCCGGAATATATTGCTCTCTTATCAAACATTTTGCTATTTAAACGTAAAAAAAAATACATACATAAAATGTATCACTTAAATATTACTATAAACTATCATGTGTCTATGCGCTTACTTATTATTTATTTTATTGTAATAACAATTATTTATTTTATTATGCGTTTAAAATCGGCTACCGCTAACATGATAATAATATACAAAATGTTCATGTATATATCATATATTATATACATTTACATATTTTGAGTCGTCCATAATACGTCTCGCTTTCGGTTTGTTGGTGATTTTTTGGTTTTTTTATTTTTATTATTATTCCAGGGGGGTGGGTTTATTAATTTAACGTTTCGTCGATCATCAGTATACGCATGGGACGTTATAATATCATATTATACATTGTATAATTGTTATTATTTTAATCGATTAAAAAAAAAAATCTTCGAATCAGTTTCTCACCCGATACGTATTACAATATTATATACTATACAATATTATTACCTACCTTTATCGCATATATATATWTTTATCTCGTCGATATTACGTGACAATGTCGTTGTCTGTCTTAAACTGTCCATAATTTTATAATGTGTTACTCATGAAGACGACGACGATGAAGGTGACGGCGAATCGATATTAGTATATTACATAGTACATTCTAATAGAAAGGATAATATTATTMTTCACGGTATTCAAGCCGAAGGTTTTTCACGCGAGTTAAATAAATTCTAGTCATTTTTTTTTTTTAATAATAATATAACATAATATACATATTATAGTGACAGATTAGGATAATATTATAATATATAATTCCGGTAGTAAATTAAATATTATTATTATTCAAATTTGCGCGTTAGTTTAGGTTTACGTATAATAATATATAAAATATAATAATAATATAATATACGATATTAATTAAACGTACGTTTCTCGATTCAGGACTATAATATATATTATAATATTAATTATTATTATCATCGACTTTATAGCTTTAGACATTTTAAATTACGATGTTTATTAGGTTAATGCAATTATTATAATATATTATATTGTATGTTTAACAAACAAACTTAGGTTTAGCAAAACGCAATAAATAGTAGTAAATATTATATAATATTATTAATAGGACAAGTGTAAATTTACGAAAAAAAAAAAAA